TTTTCATTTTATGTCCAAACCCTAGGTTTGTTTGAAACAATCCCAAATCACACCATTGTTACACAAGAGACAAATAACTAAACTAAATATCATATAAAGGTGTAGAAAGATCCCTACCTCAAAGGAAGAAGATGAGCCACGCAAGAAAGAAACTCCAAGGACACCGAAACCCACTTCTATTCGGATCAAAATGTAGATCTTGAGATGCTTTAACTTTTTCTCAAAGGCACTAGGGTGAAGAGATCGACGGATCTAGATGAAATCTAAAAGAGAATGTGAGTTTTAGAGAGAGAAAGTGTAGATCTAGGTTTTTGGAAAGTTTTAGAGAGAGAGAGAAATGAAAAAGTGATTCAAAACATCATTTTTACGGACTATTATACACACAGCCCGCTCGAGCGTAAAAAGTGACGCTCAAGCGTTTGACACAAAGTTCTGCTCGAGCGTGAAAAGTGGCGCTCGAGCGTAGGATACACATTTCCAGAAGTTTTGTAGATGAAGGGCCCCGCTCGAGCGTGAGACTAGATGCTTGAGCGTCTAATGCATTCTCCAAGTATTTGCAAAACTGCAAAAATACTGAAAGTTGACAAATCTCGCTTGAACACAAGAATGGCCGCTCGAGCAGAGGAGCAAAATTTGGGAAGCTCGCTCAAGCGCAAGAATGCCCGCTCGAGCGAAAGAGCCAAAAATTGGGCATCACATGTTTGGAAAAACAAGCAACCAACCTGTTTCAAACACACAACTACAACTCGATAACTAAGATAAGGGGAGGCAAGGGAAACAAGACATGAATAACCATTCTAAACCATACCAACCCGAGTCCGGAATGCAATAGGGAACGGATCAAAATCGGAATTGCTATACTCAACAACTTCTTCGCTGTATGTATTGGCTCTGCAGCTTGACCGTTGCATGTGTTCCCTCTGCAACTTGACTTGGTCATTTTCCTTCGTGGAGTCCATTTGGACCCTTGGCGGGTCGGACCTGCTTCGGCCCACTATTAGCCCATTTCCCTTGGGCTTTAGCCCATGCTTCTTTTTTCATTCCTGGTCGCCTCTTTTGGGCGACCTCAGTACTTAGGCCCATATTTAATTTAGGGCTTAATTTTCTGACCCTCTACATTCCTGATGTGGGATTGTAAAATAAAAGTTAACAGTTGTTTAGATGGGAAGTTCATTTCTAATCAAGCAATCCCAATCGTTCAATTTTTAAAAAGGTCAATTTTAGTTTATTTCAAATCAAACAAATCTAACCAATATATTTTTGATAAAACAACTAAAACCATGATTAAACTGGTGAATCAGTCAGACTGAAAACGATCAGTTTAATCGGTTAAGTCAAAAAACCAATCAATTTACAACAAAATTAATTAATTAAAACATTTAAATTATGGTTTAAAATTTAAACCATCTTGAATTGAAACATGCACAATACTATAATATTAAATTAAAGTATAAGATTCACTTTAGGTACATGAAATAACTCACTTTTTATTTCTTTTTTCGACGTGAGATTGCAATTATTTTAAAGTTAAATATTATGAAAGTTTCAAAATTGCATACAAAATTATTTTTAAAATCAAAACGTCTATGTGGGATTGTATAATAAAAGTTAAATGGAAACTAACTAATGGAGATTTTTTTAATTGTTTAAAATTAAGAAAATCAAAAAAAAAAAATGGTATTGATTATAGGGCTTCTCACTAAAAATCTTCTTTTGCTTATATAAATGGGAGCATAAGATTCACTTTATATAAGTGAAACAATTCACTTTTTCCTTTTTTTCCCAATGTGAGATTGTAAAATAAAAATCAAATGGATATACACATTGGATTACAGATTGAAACTGTGTTTACAAAGCACCTTCATATTGCACCTTCACATAACATGGGTTAGAGTATTGTACATGTGTTCTTAAACACACAAACAAAAAAAGAAAAAAAATTAATATTGATTATAGGACTTGTCACTAAAAATCTTCTTTTGCTTATATAAATGAGAGTATAAGATTCACTTTATATAAGTGAACAATTCACTTTTTCCTTCTTTTCCCGGTGTGAGATTGTAAAATAAAAGTTAAATGGAAGCTAACCATTGGAAATTTTCTTAATTGTTTAAAATTTAGAAATTTCAATAATTTATATAAATTAGATTGTAATTATTTTAAAGTTAAATATTATGAAAGTTTCAAAATCTCATACAAAATTATTTTTAAAATCAAAATTATGTGGGATTGTAAAATAAAAGTTGAATGGAAACTAACCAATGGGGATTTTCTTAATTGTTTAAAATGAAGAAAATAAAAAAAATGAGTATGAAATATTAATCATAGGGCTTCTCACTAAAAATGTCCTTTTGCTTATATAAATAGAAGCATAAGATTCACTTTCTTTTTCATTTTTTTTTTCCGATGTGGGATTGTAAAATAAAAGATAAATGAAAGCTAGCCAATGGAAATTATTAGAAAGACATAATTTAGGTTGGTGAATTTATCATACTCGATCATTTTGTAAACTCATATGCATATTAAAAAAAAAAAAATCAAATTCATTCTAAAATCATATTCATGTGATTTTAATATATTTATCTTTAATAAAAATATATGATCTATTTATAAAATTATATATATTATTTATTTTTAAAAATTAAATAAAATAAAATTACTTGATTATAAATGATAGTCTTACTCAAAGTAAATCGAACTTTAATTTGTTCAGAATGTTACTAATAAAAATTGAAAATAAATCAAAATCAACCAACTGATCTCTTCTCCTCTCCGATATGTGCCTTGTTACATTATCATCTATGTGGTCATAATCGTAGAATTAAGTTGCATCATTGTGTTTGGAGCAAAATATTGTTTTAAAAATATAATTAATTGTAGTCATACAAGCGAAATGGACCCAATTGGGACAGATAGGTGACGGCCTCCAAATTTCGGAACCCTTTTATTATAATAATAATTACATTAATTATTTACAAAAAATCTTTAAATTATATAAGTTGACCTCCTATTAGAGAGACATATTTTCACTGTACAATTTGTTGAACCATCAACCTAAACTATGATAACAGCTTTCAACCTAAACTATCCCAACTTAAACAATTCACTTTTTCTTCTTTTCTCGATGTGGGATTATCAAATAAAAGTTAGCCAATAGAGATTTTTTTAATTGTTTAAAATTAAGAAAATCAAGAAAATTAGTATGAGATATTGAAACTCTCAAAACTCCCTTTATAAGATTCATTTTATATAAGTGAAACAATTTACTTTTTCTTTCTTTTCCCGATGTGGGATTATAACACTTTATATAAGTGAAACAACTCACTTTTTTTTTATTTTCTTGATGTGGGATTATAATTATTTTAAAGTTAAATATTATGAGAGTTTCAAAATCTCATACCAAAATTATTTTTAAAATTAAAATTATGTGGGATTATAAAACAAAAGTTAAATGGAAGCTGGGGATTTTCTTAATTGTTTAAAATTAAGAAAATCAAGAAAATTAGTATGAAATATTGAAACTCTCACAAAGTTTCTCACTAAATGGGATGAGAGTATAAGATTCTCTTTATGAGTAAAACAACTCAATTTTTTCCTGTTTTTCTCGAAGTGGGATTATCAAATAAAAGTAACTATTTAAAATTAAGAAAATCAAGAAAATTAGAATGAGGATTTGAAACTCCTAGAAGGCGTCTCACTAAAAAGTCTATTTTTCTTATATAACATATTTTTTTTCCATAGAATATTTCAGTTTTTTCCTTTTTTTTTAATTTTTTTTTTAACCTTTAAAATGTTCTTCATCGCCTTTTCTTTTCATTTTTCATTTTGCTTAATCTTCTCCAATATTTTCATTTATCTCCAATATCTTTTTTTTTTTTTGTTTTTAAAATCTTTAAATTATATAAGTTGACCTCCTATTAGAGAGACATATTTTCACTGTACAATTTGTTGAACCATCAACCTAAACTATGATAACAGCTTTCAACCTAAACTATCCCAACTTAAACAATTCACTTTTTCTTCTTTTCTCGATGTGGGATTATCAAATAAAAGTTAGCTAATGGAGATTTTCTTAATTGTTTAAAATTAAGAAAATCAAGAAAATTAGTATAAGATATTGAAACTCTCACAAGGCTACTCACTAAATGGGATAGGAGTATAATATTCTCTTTATATGAGTTAAACAACTTATTTTTTTTCCCGATTTGAGATTATCAAATAAAAGTAATTATTTAAAATTAAGAAAATGAAGAAAATTAGAATGAGAATTTGGAGCTTATAAAAGACTTCTCACTAAAAAGTGCATTTTCCTTATATAGATATACAGATTAGTATAGTTTAGGGTAAATTATAAACACACCCCCTGAGGTTTACTTAGATTACAAATTATTCCTTGTGGTTCTAGAAATTACATTATGCCCCCTAAGGTTTCTAATTTCATAACAAATAGGTCATTTTATTAATAAATCATTAAGATAATTAATAATTTTTAATAATGTTAAAATTTTATTTCAATTAATAATTCAGATAATTTTATTATTGTATAGGTAAACAGTTAGAAATTTTAATTTTTTAATTAATTCTGTTAAATAAAAAATTAAGATAGGGAAGTATGTGTAATTTTCTAAACTACAAAGAACAATTCGTATTTTAAACAAAATTCAAAGAGTGAATTTATAATTTACCCTTTAGTTTATGAGAAGTTACCCCCAACGTGTATACCGGTTGGAACTCACATCCTAGAGGAGACATCTTAGTTTATGGGAAGTTCCCCCAAGGAGAGTAAAATACATAAAGGGGTGTTTTAGGAAGTTAGTAAAAAAATAATTTTTTAATTTTTTGCTTTTTTGATAATTTTTTAGCAAAAAAATTGACTTTTTTGATAATTTTTTTGTGATTTAAAAAAAAAAAAAACTTAGATAAAAAGTTAAAAAACTTTTTACCATAAAAATTAAATTGGAACAATGAAAGATACATCCAACAGGCACGGCACGGCACCG